CAACATTGACATCTGGGAAAAATATGTACCAGGTCACTGATGATTTCCAGAATGCGTCTCTTGGCAGCCTCCACACAGTCCTTCGCCCCCTTTAGTGTCACTCGGTCGCTCTGAACCCCGGTCCGGGGAAAGCTGACGGTCACCCCGCCATACTCTTCTGCAATCTCCCGCAGGACATGCCCTCGGCGTGCTACAAAATGGCGGTGGTATTTGGGGTCCACCAGCATCCAATCTTCAATGACATTATCCTGGGTTGGAAGAGACAAGGTGTTTGGTGAGGAGAGAAAACTAAAATGGGCAATTGTGCTGAGTCCAAGATTACCAAGAATTACTCCCAAAGTCGCAACCCTTTCAAATGCTACAGTAGCAATGGAAGGAAATGTTTAGCTTCATTTCAGTGGGAAAGGGGAAACTGATGGAACCTGCTCCTTTCCATTCCTCAGGTGGGAGAAATGAGTTAGTGAGGTTTCTTCCACAAGCCTACTTGGGCCCAAGTGCCATTTAGTCCTCTCATACCCACCCCTCATCCTTCTCTCCTCTTGATGAATATAAATACCAGGACACTGCACTGGCCCCGAGTCCCTACAAATCAAGCCAATTGCNCCAATTGCCCTCCACTATTTAAGGGACTCGTACCAGGTTCCGGATGAGGTTCTCCAACTCATACTGGGCTTGCCGCACTGACTCCTCCTTCCCCACAATGGTGATGAGTTCCTGGTCCTTGTCTTCGGCGGTGGGAAAGATGATGCGGGCCCCGGTGCGGTCCCTCACCTTGCGGATATTTGCACCTCCACGCCCAATCAGAAACTTGTGGTACTCTGGCTTGGCATGCAGTTCCACTGAGTGGTTGTTGATTTGCTGGAGGGAAGGGTGGCAAAGAAAAGGCATACAGTCGGTCCTCCACATTTGCAAATTATAATTATTTGCAGATTTGATGAATACGCTTTCTCTAGGAGTCAAACTGCAGGACCTAGGTTTCTAGAGAGAACACCTCTCCAGGCATTTGTAGGTCCTCCCAGTTTGATTCTACGGTCAACTTCTGGCAGAGCTTGACCAGAGTCTCACCCTCTACAAATGTCTACAAATGCCTAGACAGGTTCTTGCAGATAAAAAAAAAATAGTGGTTTTCCACCTTCAGAGGGATCCTGCGCCCCTAATTTATTTACTTTATTTATTTACTTTATTTATATACCGCTTTTCTCAGCCCTCAGGCATCTCAAACCCTGGTGAACCCTAACCCTAAACCTAGTGAATGTGGAGGGACAGACTATACTAATTAGTGCTTCGAAACTACTTTAACCTATCATTCTTACACCAATGCTGACACCCTTCTGATACCAATTTCAGGAAATACATCAAATACATCAAGAACCAATACTGCCTGCATGATTCCAATAAATAATATTTACACAAAGGCTATTTTCTTCAGAGCATAGCAGTCTTTTCCCATCCAGTGGGTTTACAATCTTTCTTTTCAACTTCATTTGCCCATCAGTTCAAAATAGGGGGCCGTACAGCTAAGCTGTAGAAGGTCTGCGGTTTGGACCCGGGGACAGGGTGAGCTCCGGTTATTAGTCCCAGCTTCTGCCAAACTAGCAAATGTGAGTAGATCAATAGGTACTGCTCTGGCAGGAAGGTAACAGCGCTCCATGCAGTCATGCCAGCCAC